GAAGGACAGGAAGGCCTGGCGCAATATGGTTCATGGGGTCACGAAGAGTCGGACACGACTTAATGACTAAACAACAAGGGTTAGAAGTTTTTACTCCATCTGGGAGCAAAGAGTTTGTGCTGGTTTTTTCTCTCACTAAGCCAGAATCTGATTTGGCTTTGGGCCAAACTCAATTATTGTGGCTGATGTGGGTCTTCCGGGCTGTGTGGCCATGTTCTGGAAGTTTTGGTTCCTAATGTTTCGCCAGCATCCGTGACCGGCATCTTCAGAGGACAGGAGCACAGACTGGAGCGGTTCTCTCTGTACCCAGGCCATACAGCCCAGAAGATCCACACCAGCCATCGTATTCCGGCCATGAAAGCCTTCGACAATACATCAATGATTATTCTTAGGTAGGTGGAACTAGAGAGCCAGTTTGATGTATTGGTTAGAGGCACAGAAACTGGGAAACCGTGAATTCTAGTCCCGCCTTAGGCATGAAGCCAGCTGGGCCAATCACTCTTTCTCAGCCCTAGGAAGAAGCAGGCAAGGGCAAAACCACTTCCGAAAAACCTTGCCAAGAAAACTGCAGGGACTAGTCCAGGCAGTCACCAGGAGGCAAGGCTGCTTTGAAGGCACAAAATAAGTGCATCTAAGCTATAGCACTGGAAATAAATCTCATTAAACCAAAATACACTAGAGTGTCTTACCAGCTCCTGCTCATTGCCAGTTCAATTGGTTTTTTGTTTTTTTTACTAGTTAATAGGACATTTTAAGAATTCCCCCTGCCTATTTTTCCAGCTGCTTTGCATAAAGGAGAGGAGGTAGGCAGCATTCTTTCCAAAAGAAGTAATCCGAAGCAACCAATCAATTCAAAAAGTTGGAGCCAGAAAATTTTGACTGTTGCCCAAGAGGGCTTTTAGGCCTGTGTTTACTCCACACTTTAGTGAAATATACTATAAAGCAAAAACTTATGTGCGTAGCCATGGAGTGGTTGCAAATGGTCCCCTTAATTCTCGTGAAAAACATAAGCCCAGGACTTCGTCGTTCTTCCGGGTCTGCTTTCCTTACAAGCCAAAGTACAGGCTCTGAACCAGTCCAAACGAGAAACTCCTCGCGTGGCTTTCCCTCCTCCTCCTCCTCCTCCTCCTCCTGTCCCCCAGCGGGACCTGTTGCGTTGGGGTTGCGAGTGCGCCCCTCTTCTGGAATCCAGCGCAGGGCGGGCAAGGCAGCGCGGCGGACCCTTTAAGAGCCAGGCAGGGCTCGCTCGCTTGCTGGGTGGGAGCAGCGAGGAAGCAACACCCACCGACCCACCCACACCCCAAACGCCGACCTTTGGAGCAATGCTGGAGCGCTGAGCCGCGGGCGGGCCGGCGGGAGAAA